CGGCCTCCCTCCAATGCTCCTGAATACGGAAAAATCAGGTATGCAGTCCAAAAGCCCGCTTTTTGGCCCGGCCGGCGTGGTTTAGTGGTTGAGCGTCCACCTATGAACCAGGAGGTCACAGGGTTCTTTTCCCGGTCAGGGCACAGGCCCAGGTCGGGGACTCGATCCCCAGTGTGGGGCGTGCAGGAGGCAGCCGATCAATGATTCTCCCTCATCATTGAGGCTTCTCTCTCTCTCCCTTTGCCTCCTTCTCTGAAATCAATTTTTAAAAAGTATATATATATGTATATATCTATATATATCTATATCTATATCTATATATATATATTTAAAGCCCGCTTTTGAAAACGTCAGCATTTGGGGGCACAGTTTGGGAGAGAGTTTCTGGAGGAGAGACACACACTCAACCCCGCAGCGAGCGAGCAGCGAGAGCGGCCGGAGCCACTGCCGCGAGGGGAGGACCCCTGGGCTCCCACTGGACGCGCCGGGGAGACCATCCCGTTGCGTCTCCACTTTCCACGGGAAAACAAACATGAAGGGCGCTCATCTGGCCGTGGGAGCGCTTTCCCTGGAAACGGCAATTCCTCGAGCTGGCCGCCCGCCGCCCGGGTTATGACTTACTGCTGCTTCTGTCTCATTCCCCGGCCTCGGCAGAAAGCAGAGCGTGGCCCCTCCGTTTCACGGCCCGGGAGAGGCAATAAAGCACAATTACGTAGAATTTATGATTAGGCCGTAAATTATAGGCGCTTTTTACTTCGGCTGGCGGCCAGAGCTCGGGGGGAGGGAGGGGACGGGGTCAGAGGGAAGCAAGAAAGGGCTTTTTCGGGGAACGCAATGCCTGAGTGGGGCAGGGTTGAGGGCTGGGTTTCACGGGGCGGGTTTACTGAGATGCCACCGTCTCAGAGGGGAGTCCCAGGGGCCTCTGTTCCTCCTGCTCGCGGGGCTGCGGATGCCTGCCTGCGTGCTCCTGGTGACCCCAAAACAGAGCACGGTACATTTTCAGGCCATAGCACAACAGAGGGTCCCACAGCTCCAGGTCCTGCTGCTCCAAGCCAGGGAGGGTTCAGAGCCGGCCCCTCGCGTACAGGACACTCCTGACCGGGCTCTATGAGTAACTGGGCCGCAACCAAGGTGTGGGACGTGCAGGAGGCAGCCGATCCATGCTTCTCTCTCATCACTGATGTTTCTGTCTCTCTCTCCCTCTCCCTTCCTCTCTGAAATCAATAAAAATATTTTTTTTAAAAAAGATTTACCTTTCTCGTGGCTCCTTTATGTGCTATGAAAACATACACATGGGATAGTGAGGTGCAAAGCTGGCAAAACTCGGGGCGCGGACCAGGATGGGGACACAAGGTCCGACGCCTGCTGGCCTCCTTGGTTCTCCAAGAACCTCCGCCCGGGTCCCAGTCTCCCCGAGTCCCCGCATGCAAATGGCAGTGTGCAGAGCTCGGCCCCGGACATTGCATCCGGCCTCTCTATCACCCTGGCAGCGAGGACCCGGCACCAGTGTGACGGGGGAGACTGAGGCTCCGAGAGGGGCTCACAGTGACGACCCCACAGAGGGCGCAGGGAGTCGGGGACCCGCCCACCAACGGGACATCCCCCGGCCTTTGCACGATTTCACCCCAACTGGTGGGTGCGGCAAAGCAAATCCAAAGAAAGAAAGAGTCCGTGTTTCAGTGGGTTTTGCATTTTGCTCTTTTTCTGCGGTGGAATTTCTACTGGGCAACTGAAGCTGCCAAGTAGCCGATCGTCACAGTAACAACAGGTATTTGAAAGTGAGATACAGTTGGACTTAAGGAAACACGGGAGACAGGCTAGAACAGAGTCATGACTAGTGACAGGCAAATAGTAGTAATAATAAATTCGGGGGGAGGGGGGGAGGTTTGCCCCGATTGTTCACCTAGCACTAGCCTTTGTCCTAAAACATCCCAGCCCCACGCCGGCTCCTGGTTAAGTAACTTAATTGGGCCGATGTCACTTGAACTGTATAATCTGTCCCACACAAAAACAAACCCACGGAGAGCCTCCGAGCCGCTCTAAGCCCCTAAGTCCCGGGCTACATGCCGTCTATGGAAAACAGCTGTGCCGAGTAAATCACCCTGCCCTGGCCAAGCCCGGAGCCTATTTATCCCCCTCTCTAAGTGTGTTTTGAAGTCCTGGTTGGAAAATTAGTGAAAACTGTAAATCTGTTTGCAAATCTGGTCATGTCTAACTCCGAGATTAGGGCAGAGATTCCGATTTCAAAGTGAAACCGTGACAACTCCGGTTAAGCGTGTCCTCGGGCACCGCCGGCGGGGCCTTCACTCACCCGCGCGGGCGCTGGATTTATTGCGGGCACCCGACGCGCGCCCCATCAGACACCCCCCGAGTACTGACTTGAGACAGCAGGGCTCGGCCTGCACTTCCTCTGCAGACCAATATATTATTATAAATTGAGCTAAACTGTTCCCTTTTCATAAGGGCTACGGAGTTCAGATTTCAGATATCAGCGCGGGCTCAGGTCCCTGCGCGGGGCCCCGGGTAGGAGATGGACTGTGCACGTGCAGAAAAGGGGGAGCATGTGACCACGGGTGCATTTTTGTTTGTTGGGGTGGTTTTGTTTAAGAGGAGTTGGAGGAAAATTCTGTGTACAAATTCAATATGATATCTTAATAAGAAATTATGTTCTAGATGCCAACCTTGGGTACCTCGTGCTGTGCTTGGCCTGGGTCAGGAGGGGACCAGCTGCCTCCCCATCTCTGAAGCCAGGAGTTGGGAAGTCAGGATTAGACATTATGTCTTGGCTATGAGCGTCTGTAAAATAACACTTCTTCTATCCATCGCCTACGACAGCTACAAGGACCCAATGTATATTTTTAAATGCATATGCATTATAACACAGGAGTCAAAAGGACAATGGGATTATTTAATATTTTCATTATTAAGCTGCTTCTCAGGCAAGAATAAAAAACAACACATCACTTTTAAAAGAAATTGAAAAGAAAGAGGCAAATGGACCACTGGCATCGCCTTCTTTTGTTCCCCTCTCAAACAATTTAGTCCTAGAACCTTTGGGGCATGGGCAACACGCTGGGGGAGGGGGCGGAGGGCACCGAAGCCCAGAGCAGGGGTCAGCGCCCGAGTCGGGGGAGGAGGGATGGCCCGACCTGCAGTGACAGAGCTCAAGTGGGATAAAATGACTATATCCAGTCCATGCTTCTTACTAGCTGTACTAGTAACCACACCAACCTAACCTTAAGTTTTGTTTTTCTGTTGTTGTTGTTTTTTTTTTTTTTGCAATATTGCTAAGATCTACTTCTTAGGCTTACTGAGAGGACTGAAAGAATGATTGATTTGCTATTAGTCCCCAATAAATGTGGTTGTTATTCACACACTGCTATTGTTCCAGACCTATGTATGTAAAGAAAAAAGACTAAAAAGGCATATACTGAAACAGGCATGGGCCTGATTATTACGGTCTTCTTTCTTAGATCCATGTTCAGCAAGTGCAGGGATCAACCCGGAAGAAGAATTTAAGAGGGAAAGGGACACCACATGAAGTACCAGGGAACCCCACTGTGAGGAGGTCATTCCCTCTGTAAAGATCTCCCCCTCCCACTGCTGACATCAGGGCAAGTCTCAGGGAGGGGCCCTTACACAGTGCACTCCTCTCTTATAGTTACTCACCTCCCTTTACAAGACAGAACAGGACTCAGACTCAGGATCCTCAGCAAAAAAAAAAAAAAAAAAAAAAAAGGAGCAGACACAATACTGTTTACTTTATAGATTCATGAAACTTTCAAATTATGCCAAATGATATTGGCTTTCCATTAAAATGGTAATATAAAACTTCCCACTAAAATAAATTCATTCCAATAAAGAAAAAAGAAGTGAGTTCATTTAGAGAGAAACATTATATAAGTGAGAGTAAGGGAGAGCACAGATATGGAAGAACCTCAGAGCTGGTGTGCGAATGACTGAAATTTGGGAAATATGGCCTAGAGAGCTATTGCAAATGTGAATTCCTAGAAGCAAGGACCAAGGTTTACCCATCTGCAGTGTCTCCTCCAGAACCTTGGGCAGCATGTAGAACATAGTGGGCCCTCTGCAAATACTCCATTCACTGGGAAATAATTGGATCATAAATGCTGGTTGAGGCCATGCCGCTTCCTGACCCTGTTACCAGCACATGAGTAGATGCCCCAGCAGGTAAGTGTGAGATAAACCCAAAATAAACAGGAGCTATGGCCAAGGAGAGAATAAACCCTAAGAAGCTTTAGGAGTCCATGAAAAACAAGTAGCATGCTCAAAAACATGACACTTAGAGCAAAGAAGCAAAAACAAAGCTCAAACTGCACAGCTTTGGTTCGCTTAACCACGGCTGAAATACTGTGTCCAGAAATACTAGAGGACAAGTGCGGAGACAGACCACGCTGTCAGGTCAGCTGCTCCTGAGAATAAACCAAATTCAAAACTGGAAAAAAAACAAACAAACAAAAAACATGCTCACTAAGAACTTATATAGACAGGGACAACTATATATAAGAACCTAATATGCAAATTGTCCCCTCAGGAGTTCGATTGCTCGCTATGACATGAGCTGACCACCAGGGGACAGCGCGGAATGAAAGAAGGCCCCAGCCAGCAGCCAGAAGGCCCCGATCGGCCCTGATCACTGGCCAGGCCTACGGACCCTACCCATGCATGAATTTCGTGCACCAGGCCTCTAGTCATTTTATAAGTTCACAGTGGATTTAGTTAGGTGATTTAGTGGCTCTGATGAAGACTCCTGAAAAGCGTTCACAACATTTGTGGAACTCCAATAACATGGAGAAGGAAAAGTAACTTTTAAAAATCAGCAGTATCTCAAAAAAAAACCCAAATAAACAAACTAGTTACATGTATAAGTTTCCTTTTCACTATAAAATACGTAAAAGGCAAAAGACATTCAAAACATGTACCCAATGACGTAAAACTTAGACAACAGAGCATCAATGTGGCTCAATCCTCCTAATTACCGAGCATAAAGTAGCAGTCTCCCTGGTGAAGGGGTATCGCCAAACCGGGTGTCTCTATGTCCCAGGAGATCTTGAAACCAACATGCCAGGTGTCAGGATCTCTGCCTTCGAGGGGAGAGTCCTCCTCGCTGTCCTCTTCCGGGCCTGTCGAAAGACACAGGGTGATCAGAGAGGAGGGGTTTCAAACATCTGAGGTTCTGGGCGCCATAGCAGTTATCTCAGGAGTAACTGAAGTCTGAATGAAAATGTCTTCCTTTTATATCACATTTTTAAAGACACATTCTTTAGGTCGTTTTTAGCGTCACTTATTTTTTCATCAAAAAACTTTAACCACATATATCAAGGGGAGAAAGATTATTTTGTTAAATTCCCTGCAAATAAGTGAGAAAACTCTAGATCAAATGGTTAGTTTTTAGGGCTATATAAATAACCAAAGCCCCCCCCCCCCCCCAGAAGAGATAGAAAAGCTAAACAAGACACAGAAGATAGAGAGGAAGTTGTCCAAGAACCCTCTCTCAGGAAAACACAGGCCTAGAGAATTACAAAGGAGAATACTACCACACAATGAAGGCGTGAGTAATTTCAATACACTTTAAATTGTTTAAGAGCATAGAAAGAGAAAAGTTTCCAAATTCTTTCCATGTAGATAGAATAGTATCAAAATCCAAAACACACACACACACACACATACACACACACATCTAGTCTCATATCTGAAAACCAATGCAAAATTCCTAAGTATAACATAAGAAAACAGAATTCAAATCCAGCAGCACATGAGAAGAATAACGGTCCAGAACCAAGTAGTACTAACTGCAGGAATACAAGGATAGTTCAATATGCACAAACTTATATCTAAAATTTATCACATTCATAAATGGGGGAAAAATCATGTCACCAGAGATATACAAATGTACTCAACAAACTATATCTTTCATAATGAAAACCTCAATTAAATAGATATACGTGGCTAGTTCCTTAACATGATAAAATACGGAGCTACTCAACCTCAAAGCCAGCATCGTATTTTAAAAGGGAAACGTTAGAAACATTCCCAAAGTTAGGAATCAGAAGACAATGTCCTTTATCACCACAACGATTCATCATTATTCTGGAAGGAATGGCCAACATAATGGTGCCTCTGGAGTGGCATAATAGAGGAGCCCCAATTAGACACAAAAAGGGGTGAAATATGTTTTAATAAGAAAAATATTCTTGTGCAAATGGTATGATTATTTATCTGCAAATCAACCTGGAAAATATATCCCAAGCAACAGGCAAATTAAGAAAATTCTAGCTACAAAGAGTGTATATAAAAATATCCTAGTTTATACGTGCATTGTCTATATGAAGAAAAGTTTAAAATATTATTAAAGGACACAAAAGAATATTTAAACAAATGTGATGACATACTATTTTCTTAGGAAATAAGACTAAACATCATGGAAATGTCAGTTCTCCCCTAAATTCGTCTATAAATTTGACACAAATACAATAAAAAAAAAAAAAAAGACCAACAGGACTGATTTTTAGGTGAACGGGGTTGGTAACTAAGTAAGCTGATTAAACAATTCACATGAAAACATAAGTAAGCAGGCGTCACCAGCTCTCTAAGCATCAATAGGATAAACATCGATCGTCAAATAGAATAATGGGTGAGAGTCATGAAGATAAACCCCATAAAAGGAGATAAAATGAGTTTGTAAACATCAAAAAGACATTCAAACTTATTCACGTAAGTTCAAATTAAAGCCCCAGTAGGTGTTTTTCACCTATCAGATCAGAAAATAACAAACACTTTGATAAAGTATGGTGCTAGCAAAATGGCACACGCCTAACCTCTATAGAGGACAATTTGACAATCAAAATTACAAACACAGAACCCCTTTGAACTTAGAGGAGCCCCACAATTCCCCTTTTATGAATGTATGCTAACATTTCTACATGCAGAGATTGCAAAACGACTTCTGAGCAAGGACATATATTTTAGCAGTGTTCATAAGAGCAAAAAATCAGAAATAACCTCGATATCCATCCATAGGTTTCTGTCCCTCTCTGGTCAAATCAACCATCACTCAACTTTCAAAAAGGTGATTTTAAGCTCCAAAGACAGCGATTTTCAGGCGGTTTTCATACCACGGAGAAAGGTTATTCTCCTAAGTGGTCATCTTGATAGGCTGACAGGCTGGCTGGCCGCTGGCCCTTCTAACTCTCACCCTCACACTCTCCTCAGTGTGGCACCAATAAAGTCCTGAGCGCCCAGCAGAGACGGTAATTGGCCATCAGTGTTCCCCGATGTCTCCCATAAATCCAGCACCTCCCAAATGTGCTCATTAAAATACTGTTCCGCTGAAACTTTGGTTCCCCCTGGGACGGGGGCGGGAGGAGAGACCCTGTCGGTCTGATACATTTTTTTAGTGTGTCAGTATAGTGTTGCTCGCTTTCTCAATAAAACCCACTTGCAATTACCTATAGCAACTGCGGGCCAGGACTCTGCCCTGTGTTATTGTGGAAACGAGCAGAGGCGATAGGCTGCTACTTGCCTTGAAGCCTCCGTAACACGGAGAGGATTGTAAGGGTCTCAGGTGTGTGCTGCATTCCCAGCTCCCTCCCACGAAGGTCCAAATAAAATTTAAAAAAATATATATATATATTTTTATAAGGCGCAGTTTAAATGTAAGTTTTTAATATCTAACACTCACCCCTCCCCCAACCAATCAATTTGATTTTTTTATGCTACATCGTGTTTAGAAAAAATTAGCTCCACTTTAATGAAAGGTGTATGTCGTCAAATACGTTGACAGTTTTAAAAGCTAAATGCAGCCACTGTTACGCAGGAAACTAAGAAGCCCGAGCAGGAAGGAAGAGATGACAGTTGTAATCAAAATATATCGCTTGGATTTTCGTACCACATTTCATAATAACACCATTAATATTGTGTGTCCATGGTTTCCCTGGTATGTAAGGACATATTCATCATCGCCACACATTAACAAAATAGGCCTGTTTCCTTGGCCGGGCGCTAAGATTTCTAAGGCTCTGGCCCTGCCAATTATTTTCTCTGCTCCCTGAGCCCCACACCCAGAAAGGCTGAGGTAGCAGGTCCCTTCCTAACCCCATCACAGATCTCAGGGCAGGAGAGACCCGGAAGTCGCACGTGGTCAGCTGGTCTATGAAGCCTAATGATGCTTTCCGTGCCCAGGGCTCACCTATGACATCCCAGTATCTGGGATGGGGAACCTGTGTTGCTGTTTTATTTATTTTTTTCATGTAAGTATACTTGATACACAATCTTATACTGGTTATATTGGTTTCAGGTGCATGATACAGTGACCTAACAGTTGCATATCTTAAATTGTGATCAACCCACAAATTCTAGTAATCATTGGTCAGCATGGACACTGATCACGTTATCGAGTACAGTCCCCTTCCCCTTTTCACCCATCCCCTCAGCCCCACCCTTCTCGTAACCATCCCTTTGGTCTCTGTTTCTATGAGTCTGTTCTTGTTTTGTTGGTTTGCTTTGTTTTTAGATTCCAGGAATCCGTGTTGTAAAATGGAGGGAGACAGAAGGTGAAATGGGAAGGTGTGAGGTTGGGAGGACACAGGAGGAGGGGAACGGCGGGTGGGTGGACAAGACCATCATCAATGCTGCCCGGCCGGCGTCGCTCCGTGGTTGAGCATTGACCTATGAACCAGGGAGGTCACAGTTCGATTCCCAGTCAGGGTACATGCCCGGGTTGCAGGCTCGATCCCCTGTGGGGATGTGCAGGAGGCAGCCGATCAATGATTCTCTCTCATCATTGATGTTTCTATCTCTCTCCCCTTCTCTCTTCCTCTCTGAAATCAATAAACATATATTAAAAAAAAAATTCTACACGAGAACATCATCGATGCTGAGCTGCAGAGGCATCACATGAACGCGTGGATTCGCAAGAGAAGAGGCGGGAGAGGCGGGCAGAGGCCAGGGCCTGGAGGGCCTGGAGGGCTCTGTGGACGCAGGAGGGATCTAGCCTTCCACTGCGGGCGGCGGAAGACGCTCACGCCTCCGGGTACATCAGGGCTGCTGTTCGGACCGATCCTGGGAGGGCAGACGCCTCCGTGGGCAGACCTTGTGTACTTTTTCTACACAGGCTCCCAAAGTGAAAATGGAGAACTCGGGTAAGTGTGAAGGGAAAAGGGAACGAGACCCGGTCAGTCCCAGCTCAGAACCGGAAGCTGCTCTCGGGGGCCTCGAAGGAGCGAAGCAGGACGCACTTTTCACCCCGTCACCCCGTCACCTCTGCGGCAGGAGGCACAGCCCCGCCTCCCCTTCTTTTCCTCTTTGGCCCTTCATGGGAGACTGAGGAATTAATGCCAAGAATCTGCAATGTCTGGCAACCTGGCCATTAAATTCAGAATTGTTTTCCCTGGAAAGACAGAGTCACAGAAGACGTCCTTCCAAGGAAACAGAAATGGTGAGTAACCAATCGTTATTGTGTGTCGGCGACCTTTTTCTGGGGGTGTTCCCGCCCAGGAACAAGGGGTAGGGCCATCTGAAACGATGGGTCTCTAACACCTTCCCTGCTAACGTATACACCCTGGTGACACGAGGGACTGCCAGCAGAGCTAGAATAGAAAAATCAAATACTCTGTCTATTTACACATGGCTCCCCAAAGCCACTCCTGATTAAAAATTGTACCATTTCAATCTTCCCACCGGAGAGATCTATTAACTAGGGCTGCTTGGGAAGCCAGTGAATTTAGGGTATAATTACACGGATCCTAGACAAATTACTTCTCAATGACCCCTAGACACGGAGCTAAACCGAAGAGGGGCGGCCGGCTCATTATAAACCTACATGAAGGCTTCACTGGGAAAAGGTATTGGGAGCAAAGCCCAGAAAGACCCGCAGCATCACCCGGATTTAACTTCAGCAGGAAGGAGCCGCTTCTTTTCCGAACTCCCCCTGCGTGCGTCTCACAGGAACCTTCCCCGCGGCACCTAACGCTCTCGCGGCACTGAGTAGCCGTGTGACCCTGGACAGGCCACGTCCCTTCTCCCACCTCCATGTTCTCATCGGTGGGGTGAGAGGCTTCGGCCAGGTGACTTCCGAAGACCCTCCCAGAGCAGATGCTAGGTCCTTCCGTCATTATGGTCCCCCAGAGCACACCTCCCCTCACCCATCCCCTCAAGGCCAGAGGGGCATCTGACGTACCTTTGGAGTCTCCGTACCGTCTAGAACAGAACTTCACTTCGCGGACGCTCAGCGAACAAGTTCCAGGGCACGGAAAGCAGTGCAGTTGTCTGAAACGTCCGCTCTTGGCCCTTTTGAGCCCTCCCGAACCCCAAACACGATTTTAGCCTAAATGGCTCTCCTCGAGTGCACCTGAACGTGCCTCTGGCAGGAGTCTAAGGAGGCCAGAGAACGAAGCGTGTCGCCTGTCACCTGGAAGAAGTCACTTGAGAGAAATGCACCATCACAAAGTTTCAAGGCACGTGAGTTGCCAACCACCTGACCCGACAGCGTGCATGTGGCCAGAGGCCTGGAGAAAGGTTCCGCTGCACAGAGCTGATGCATTCTGCTCACCCAGAGCCTGTGCAGACAGATGCTGTGGGGGGAAGACGCGAGGTTAGCAGGGCCTCCAAGGAAGAGCGAGGAAAACATTCCCTTAACCTGTCCAGAGGTGCGCTTTTTTAAAATATATTTTTATTGATGTCAGAGAGGAAAGGAGAGGGGGAGAGAGAAACATCAATGATGAGAGAGAATCATTGATCAGCTGCCTCCCGCACACCCCCTACTGGGGATCGAGCCCACAACCCGGGCATGTGCCCTGACCAGGAATCGAATCTGGAACTTAGGCTGATGCTCTATCCACTGGAGCCAAACCAGCTAGGGCGAGGGGGGCATTTAAAAAACCCGGATCCCAGAGATATCTACACTGCGGGGACAGGAAATGCTTATAAGGCATTCGGCCAAAGCTGTAAGGCTCTGAAGCCGAAGTGCCAACGTTGCAATCCGAGCTCTACTCATTCGTAGCCGTGTAGCCGTGCAAAAGCCAACCATCCTTCTTGCCTCCGTTTCCTTGCCTGTAAAAGGATGAGAGCAGCACTTTGCCCATGGGGTTGTTGTAAAAATCGAATGAGCTCATACACGTAAAATGCTTACACCAGCTGGCACATAGGAGGTGCCCCATAAAGGAGCGCTCCCAGTATTGCTGTTATTGTTAGCGAGACTTCAGGGACTCTCGGGGGGTTGGCAGGTTCCAAATCTGCGGTTCCCTCCTCCCAGGGATAACCGCAGGACAAACCTGTATCTATTCATGTGTCTGAATAAATAGACCTGTATCTTGGACAAACCTTGATCTATTTATTTAGACACATAAATAGATAAAGGCACTTGATCAGTCTTCACTACTCCCGACCACAGGAGCTATTCATTAAACACTTAAATTCCTTTCTGAGAGATATTCTAGACTTCAGGAACCGCTCGGTCACCCACGCTCTGGGAGGACAATGGGACTATTAAGCTGCGGGCGGACCGGACCGGGAGCACAAAGACACCTCTGTGGCCGCCGGGCCACCACACACCACTGCCTCCCTTTCAGAGCGCGGCCTCCTTAGGAACGACGCGAACGGCCTCCACGGTTGGCTCGCATCAGAGTTCGTGGATGTGATAGTTCCTAAGGCCCTGGCAAGGCCTTCTTAAAGAGCAGCGGGTCCCAGGTCCTCCCAGGAGGGCAGCATCAACTCCCCCAGGAGCAAGTGTCTTGGGGCCGCATCATTCATTATTCAGGACGCCAAGGCAGCCGGTGAAATTTCCAGCCGCAGAACCGGTTCCTTGTTTCGGGCCACGGGCACCAGGGAAAGTTAGAAAATAGTGTGGCGATCCTGAGGGGGTATTCTGCGACGGGGGAATGGTAAGAAATTTAAAGACAGCCATGGGAATTTCTTTTTCAAGTCCCCTTTTCCAAAAGTCATTTTAGTATTAAAAAATAGTAACTAACAACCACCACCAGATCCAATTAAACGGCTGTCAGAAACAGTGACCCTCAAAAGTTCCAGTTCATTCCCTCGGGCGACATCTAGAACTCTGGTTCTCCAAGCACCTTTCAACGCACAAGGAGAAGACACAAACAAGCAAGCAAGTGAAACTGAGGTCTTGGAGCCCTTTGTCAAGTGATCAGGCGGATAAGAAGGTTGGCAGTGGTCATGCTAGGTCACAGAGTCAACTACCTTTTTAATAGTCCTGTTCTGGAAACCAATAGAGACCCTACATACACAAAAACTGAACAACAGGAGGAAAATCGGGGTGGGCCACACACAAAATGTAGCCGCTGGTCTGTGTTCTGAGGGGATCAGACTTCAGGAAGCGCTAGAACGGGTTTGCCACATGCACCCTAGTAGTTCTAAACCCGCAGAAGGGATGGGGTGGAGGTGGGGGTGGGGGCGGGGGACCAGAGCATTTCCTGAACAGTGAGGACTGCCTGCTTACAGAGCCCACCTCGCTGCTGTCTGCAAGGAAGGGCAAGAGTCGGAACGGGATGAAGCCAAGAACAGGTCCCTATTTGACAAGACAGTGATGTCAACCGTAATAAAACATTTTGGCGAGACGGGACATGTGCACCTGGGGGAACCTGCAAAGACTTGACAGCTTTTGCTTTTCCCAGCCCTTTCTATCAGCAAGTTAATTAGAGCAACTGTACAATCTACTCTGGGCTTTAGACAAAGGCACCTGGCTCTCCGGGGGCATGGGACGAAATGACAGCCGTGCTGCCACGCGACCACATCCTCTCTGTGCACAGGGTGACAGTGAGCCAGACAGCACAGCTGTATCCTGCAGGTACGTGGCTGTGGCCAACCTAAAGAGGACACACACACACACACACACACACACACACACACACACAACACACGCAACACCTGGGACCACACACATACAAACCCAAGCGCACAAACCGGTGAGCACACCCACGGGCAGGTCGAGAGCCTGCCCAGCTCCGGTCCTGCCCCCCTCGGGGCCGCATGTCCCCTGCGCGGACCGTACCTTCACAGCTGTGACTGTACACGGCCACCGCCGACCTGTCCACCAGGTTCTCGTCGTGGTGCCAGCTCACCGCCATCTTCCCCATGCCGAAATAAGGCTCCTCCTTCAGGTAGGGCATTTTCTGGGGATCCATGAAGTTCAGCAAGGTCACGTTGTACGCAGACCGGCTCCGGATGTCCGCTTCGTCCGGCCCGTCGAAAATCCCCAGGCCGAAGTCGGGACCGATGCACACGGGCACCTCGTCGATGTTCGCTCTCTCTTTGGCGACCAGCTCCTCCCACGCCTGGACGGTCTCCAGCTGCAGGTAGCTGTTGAGGCTGAGGAGGGTCTGGCAGGCGGCGGCGACCTCCGCCTCGTGGTAGCTGATGTTGGAGCCCCGCACGGGCCAGGGCACCGTGAAGAGCCGGGTGTTCAGGTACTTGTAGGTGCAGCCCGGGTTGCCGACGAGGAGGCGCGCGACCGGGGTGAGCAGGTCTTTGCCTTGGACCCTCACCAGGTCCCGGGCCAGGCAGCCGTGCTTGTGCAGCGTGGCGAAGGCCGCCTGCACCTCTCTGTGCAGCTCCTCGGGCACGCTGCCGGCTTCGCGCAGGACGAGCTTGGGGTATTTCAGCTGCCACTGCAAACCAGAGCAAGAATGAGTGTCGATTTTAGCCTTTGCAGAAGGATGTTTCTTTGTAAGCATGAGGGGAAATCTAAAAAGAAGTAATTGTCGCCCGGCCAGCGTGGCGCAGTGCTTGAGCGTGGACTCATGAGCCAGGAGGTCATGGTTCGATTCCCGGTCAGGGCACAGGCCCGGGTTGCAGGCTTCATCCCCAGTAGGGGGCGTGCAGGGGGCAGCCAATCCATGACTCTCTCTCATCATTGATGTTTTTTATGTCTTTCTCCTTCTCCCTTCACCTCTGAAATCAATAAAAATATATATATTTTTTTAAAAAAAAAGATGTGCATTCATAGGACTGTACTGTAAATTTGATAATAGGCAGATGACTAAGCTTCACGGTATTTTTGTACGGGGTGGGGAGGGAAGGGCACTTCTCGGTGAAAACGTAAAACGAATCAGCAGCTAAGAAGAATATGTGCTGGTCATTAGGGCTGTTTACCAAATAGTTCTGGACTCGTCCCCTGTCCCCCATGTAGAAGGACGCCCGCTGGTCCCTCGTGTTGGGTGAAGCCTAGGACCACTTGTGCTCAATGAGGAATGATGGCTGTCACTTCTAGCCTAGAGCGTTTCATCGCCAGCGCCAGACCCTCCGGAACCGTCTTCCCTTTGGCACAGTCACCAGCCGGCGGCTGCCTGAACTCCTCAGGGGCTGCTTTAACGGGTAGCGACTTCCCGCTGGCACACACATGATGTGTGACATGAACAAGCAACATCGCTGGGGGAAGGCGCTGAGATTGAGGGGCTGTCTGTTACTGCGGCGTTACCTGGCCGACCCTGGCTGGTGTGGCAAACAGAAGGCAGGAAGGAAGTCTCGGGAAGTAGTAGAAGCAGCAGAAATCAGAGGCAGGTCTGAGTGGGGGGACGTGAGGTAGCAGGGAAGCACAGTGGGCATGCCTTGCTTCTCGGCATGCCCCTCTAAGGTGTGTGATCATAAATTTAAAGCGACACAGAGCGGAGTTGGACGGCACGCCCCTGGGGACGGCCACAGAGGCTGTCGGGCACCCGTTCAGAATTCCCCGTTTCTAGCCCTCGTTTATCCAGATCGGAAATGAAAACAGAAATATCTCCCTTTCCGTCTGCACAGCTCATGGAGGCGGTGGTGTAAACCAGTGAGCAAGACACAGAACCTTCTGGCGCCACGGCAGTCACTAGTTTTACCGCTAAACTGGTTCTCCTCGGAGCAAGTCCCCCAAGTGAAGCACCCGTCTACCTGGCAAGATAACTGAGGAGGACACGGTAACAATTCCAGTGTCACTGCCAGGGGCCTTCACGCGAAGCATAAAGAAAATTAAGGTGATGCCCAGGAACTCTGTTTAGAACACACTGCTTCAGAGAGAGAGTGTGTACCACTCTTGCTGGTATTGTTTGATCTACACTGTGGCTGGAGACCATAGAAAATACATTTAACACAGGGGAACTGTAACTCTGAGGACCTGGGAAATTCACGTAACCATGAGGATCACACGTAAATACCGCGACGTTAAAAACAGAGTTCTACTTGGAAGAGTGCATCATGGGGAAAGAGAGAAATGTATCAAGAGTATAAGGGTATTCATCCTATGTCTTATGATTAAAAACTGAACACGGAAATGCCCAGCAGCAGATTAGAAGGGAATTAGTACATCATTCATGTCGTGTAGTAAAGTGACACACGTTAGAAGAATTTTTGTATCATTTTATGTAAAAAAAGAAACACACACACACAAAACAACTATTTTACAAGAAATTGGTAACAAGATAATTAGGCAATCAGATCCTAGTTTCATTTCAAAAATAAAGATATGTAAACATTCACAGGGAAAAAAAAAAAAAAGACGGAGAAAAATATGGCCAAAAGTTTAGGGTGCTTATCTCTGGGGTAGTGAACTTGGGCATAATTTCAATTGTCTTCTTTAGATAGCTGTATGTTTTTCAAATTTGCAAAGATAAATGTAGGCAATTTTGATTACAATAAATACATATAAGAACAACTGGCTAATATCATCACTATCTCAAAAAGTAATATGCAAGAGAAAAAAAACATGGAACCTGAATGCCCTCTCTTAATATTTATAGAATAATTAGATTAGTGCCAGATACATAAAAGTGCTGGATAGAGTTTGTTAATTTCTTCTTTAAATAGAACAGCGTGTAACTCTGGAAAAGAACTGAACATCCAGTAATTTAATATTAATTAATTCTATTCAACAAAACAGTTCACGTTCCGTTTTGGACAGTTACACGCAGAGCATCAGATACCGCACGGTAATTGGAACAGCCGTTGGCAGATTCCCAAATACCCGGGAAAAATCTTTTTCATTTAATCCCATTAAAGTTTTTCCAGGGCGTATGCAGTCATGCAATTATATTAATAGTTGTTGGGCCACATAATATATTTCTTGAGCTCCTCAAAACAACACACAGGATGATCGTCTCGTTTAATAAGCATTTGGAAAGGTACTTCAGATATAAATCGCCAACGTGCCCGGCCTTCATCGACGGCTGGACGACGTGGAACTCTAGGTTCTCTGGAGAATAGGTTTTGTATTCTCCCTGCTTTACAGCATCCTGTGAAAATTCTACGCCTTCCTCTCAGATCAAGGGATGCTGCTGAGAGAATGTTATCAGACAGGGCGGTCAGACATGGTGCTAAGTGAGTAAGAAACCAGTCCCCGGACGCGCTCCTAAGCGATGCCCAGTGGAACTTGGCCTAGGGAGAGTGAAGAAAAATTTAAAACCTTCCAGGGTCTTGGGAAATGCCCTTCATTCAAAAGTCCTAGGATACATCGATCTGGTGGGAGTAGGTTTCTAAACTGGCTGTTCGTAGGTTCTCCTGGTAACACTTTACATCTTGCACTCTACAGAAATTCACACATGCCGGCCATGTTTTCCGTATCCTTTTCCCTGCAAAATGCTTCTGACTTGGCAGCCATCCCCTGACAAATGGGCTCTACCCTTCCGTGGCCCTGGAGTCTGGTGATGGCATGGGGTTTGCTACAAAGTGATACACAGGAGTATGTTCGTTCGTTCGTTCATTTGATAGTTCTTACAAAATTATTTAAAGCTTAGCGAATATCCACTATGCACCAGACACTGTCTAAGGCAGTGATGGCGAACCTATGACACGCGTGTGAACTCATTTTTTTGGTTGATTTTTCTTTGTTAAATGGCATTTAAATATATAAAATAAATATCAAAAATATACATCTTTGTTTTACTATGGTTGCAAATATCAAAAAATTTCTATATGTGACACGGCACCAGAGTTAAGTTAGGGTTTTTCAAAATGCTGACACTCCGAGCTCAAAAGGTTCGCCATCACTGGCCTAAGGTGTCATGAATACAATGCTAACACAGGCCCAGGGGTGGGCAAACTTTTTGACTCGAGGGCCACAATGGGTTCTTAAACTGGACCGGAGGGCCAGAACAAAAGCATGGATGGAGTGTTTGTGTGAACTAATATAAATTCAAAATAAACATCATTCCATAAAAGGGTACGGTCTTTTTTTTTTTTTAGTTTTATTCATTTCAAACGGGCCCGGGCTAGGCCCTATGTGATAGCATCTCTCCGTTTAACAGGACAGACAGAAATATACACCGAAAGTTAGAGAAAGGCTCATCACAGTGGACGTAGGAATGTACTGCTCGGGGGGCAGGAGATAAATAGTTAGGCCGGGGATCTGGAAAACCTTCATTTATTGAATCCATATTTATTGAGCACATACCACGTGCCAAGCACTAGGTACTGGGAAGACGGAGAGACCAAACCTTCTATACTCTCTCGGGGAGCTGTTTATATACACAAGACAGAAACAAATACTATATATAGCTTGCAACTCATACGGTACTTTACTTATTTATCTAGTGCGTGCTTGTTTATTTCATAAAATATATAGCATTTGAGATTGTACTGCGTGCTGTGGGGAAACATAAAGCCCAGTAAGTCGGGCAGGGGAGCGGGGGGGGGGGCGGGGGGGGGTGGCAGGGGAGCGGGGTGAAGGGCGCTGCTTTACACAGGTGTCAGAAGGCCTCTCTGATCAGGTGACGGCTGAACAGAGGAAGCAGGAAATGAGCAGACAAGCCCTGCAGATACCTAGGGCGGGAGAGAGTGCCAGGCTGAGGGAACACTGAGTGCAAAGGCCTTGGGGCAGGAGTGTGCTTGGTTTGTTCCAGAAAGAGCAAGAATGCGAAGGGGGAGGGGGGAGGAAGGGGAGGAAGGGGAAGAGGAGGGGGAGGAGGAGGAGGAGGGAATCTTATGTAGAGCAAAACAAATCCCTAGAAACTGACAAAGGTATTTCTTTTTTTTCTTTCTTTTTTAAACATATTTTATTGATTTTTTACAGAGAGGAAGGGAGAGGGATAGAGAGTTAGAAACATCGATGAGAGAGAAACATTAATCAGCTGCCTCCTGCACACCTCCTATTGGGGATGTGCCCGCAACCAAGGTACATGCCCTTGACCGGAATCAAACCTGGGACCCTTGAGTCCGCAGGCCGAAGCTCCATCCACTGAGCCAAACTGGTTAGGGCTGACAAAGGTATTTCAAAGGCCTTACCTGCTGATAGAACTCATCGTCTTTGGGGGTCAGATAAGGAAGCCACGTGTCTTCAAGCTCTTCGAAAAGCCTCAGTTTCTGTTTAAAAATAATAATTATTATTGGTGACTGACTAGAAAGTGACCCCAAATATAAGACAATCCCTTATTTTCCAATGAGAGAGAGAGAATACCAGAAAGTATTTAGCCGACTTGAATGTCTAAACTTTCGCACAGAGACCGGCAGGTGTGGCCCCATGGAAACAGCCCCAGGCCCGTCCCGCAGCCCAACAAGCATGGGTGGAGGCTGGAATTCTGTTTACAACTCAGACTCCAGCTAAGACATTACGAAAGCGGCCACTTCTCAGCTCAGGTGAGGCCCACATTTCAGACAGATACAAAACATTAGGATTTGGAAGGCTGCATCGAAACAATAAAATTCTACAAGGATGTTCGCACTCCGGGGCAAGCAGGAGATCAATGGTCTTCAGGCCTGTGGAATTTGAATGTTAACACTGCGAGCATTGTTACACCGACAGGACGGGAGGGAATGGGGGTCAGGAAACCACTCAGCGTGAGGTCACACGGGTGAAATCTGCTCTGTGCATCAACACTCACAACCTGCGATTGGACTGAATAACTACCATGGTCAGTAATAAATAACAATATTTATTCATTTAAAAAGAACTTCTGGACACATTTACTTCTGGTGAAATGGATCAGGAATCAACAGCAGCTGACACTGGTAGTTCATGAACATCCCGCGTTTCTTCAAAATCAAGGCTGCCTTATAAAAAGGCACAGTCACGGGCACGGCTGTGGAGAAACGAGCCCTCCTCTCATTCTCGGGGGTGCACACAGTGCCGTTCCCATCAACGTTCAAGCGCACGTTCCCTTTGCCCCAGAAATCCTACTTCTCGGGGTGTTTTTCTGGTACAGAGACTTGTACTGTGTTCGGGAGAATGTACGCACAAGTCACTCACCGGATCGCTGCTGGTAGAAGGGAAGCTTGGAAACACTCTAAAAACCACTTCCGTGTGCACTCGTAAAGGGTGGGTTTTACGGCAGGTGAATTATACATTGACTCAACAAAAAGATGAGAAACAATTCAAGTGTCTGTCCATAGAGGATGGTTAAACAAACCATGTACATCCGCATGGTCAAATGCAGGGAAAGAATAAAGGAGGACCAGGAAGCTCCTGTTAGGGAGAGAAAAGCTCTCCGGGGTTTACTGGGCAGTGAGGCGAGGGACAGAACCCCTGCTTGAATGTGGCTACAGGAACATCAAGGACAGTGACAAGCTATTCAGGTGGTGACTGATCTGTAGGGGCGGAGGTGGGGGATGGCGAAAGGGGACAGGGGTGGAGCGAGACCATTCAAACTATTCCGTTTTATAGTGCCTTGGCTTTGAACTACGTGAACATATGGCCTATTCAGCATATTACCCAATAGCCACTCAGACGTATGACCCATTCATTCTTAACATGACATGCAGATAAAGATGATTTTGGACTTAGTCTTAGAAAGTGCATACTCTGTGAGATACAATGAAATAGGGGGGAGGGGGGGCGCAGCGGGGGGAGCCATCACAGACTACATAGGGAAGAGGGGGAAACAGCTCGGACCATTTCTTTGTGCCCAATGTCCACCAGCTGGCAAACACACACCACGTGGAAAGGCACCGGGGAGTGGAGGTAGAAGGCCCTCGTGTTTGGCTGTCAGCTCCGGCTCCCCGGCCTGGTGTCCAGATAAACACACACAGCCGGCCCCACGGCACACTGCTCTGCTCACACGGCCTCGCCGTCACACTCGTGTCAAATACGTCAAGCTGCTCGCGGATGCCACACGTAAAGCCAGAGAAGATTCAAGCCTCGGACCTCCCGCGGGCAGGCGGAGCGTGTGGAGTCCCTCCCAGGCGGCCTGTGCCCACCTCCACAGCTCCGGCAGGCAGCGGGGACACAGACACGAGACAGGAAGGAAAACTCATGAACTGTGTGTGAGGATGGAGGTGTGGGCATCGTTCCCCGATACATACACATGTGTCTAAGCATCACATTTTAGACCTTACACGTAAACAATGTTACATGTTGGTTCTATCTCAGTGAAGCTGGGGGGGGGGGGGGGGGGAGCGGATGTCCTCTAACAAAATCGAATTAAATATCGAAAAGAGAAATATATCTCAAAACTCCCCAAATATCTGGTCCAAGGAGAAGCCAAACAAGAAATTAGAAAAGTTTTAAAATGAATGAAAATGAAAACGAAACATTTAAAAATTGTCTAGGTTGCAGCTAGAGCAATATTTACAGGGAAATTTGTAACTCTAATGCCTATATTAACAAGAAAAATGATTTCAAATCAATGACCTCTGCTTCCACCTGAAGAAAATGAAAAAAGAAGAGCAAATGAAATCCAAAGCAAGCAGGTGAAAGAAAATTATAAAAGAGCTGCGTAGGAATCAATAAAATAGAAAGCAGAAAAGAAAATCAATGAAGCCAGAAGCTAGCTCCTGGAGAAATGTAAAATCTCTGGCCAGATTGATAAGGAAAAAAAACACACTGAAGCCTCAATATACCAACTGAAAGCATAACAGGAGATATTATGAACTTTATAGCAATACATTTTTGAACTTGGACAAAACAGAAAACCTCCTGGAAGATACAAATTATCTCAAGAAAAAGATAATCTGAATAGCCCTCTATCTAAAAATGAAATTGAATTTGTATCTTAAAAACTGCCCACAAAGAAAACTCCAAGCACAGAACCTTCACTATGGAATCCTACCAACCATTTCAGAAAGAAATATCCATCTACATAAACTCCTGCAGAAAATGAATGAAATGCAATCCCCAAACCAAGCAGAATTATCACAACAGAATTATAGACCAATATCCCCTTGGGAATGTGAGTACACAAGCTATTAATAAAATCTTAGCAAATGCAATCCAACAACACAGAAAGAGGATAATACATCATGACCGGGTATTATCCCAGAAATGCCAGGGTGGTTTTAACAGTTGAACATCGACAGAATTTTTCATATTATCAGGCTCAGAGAGAAAAACCACAGGGTCACTAAATTCCTGCAATAAGAACATGAGTCAGTACCCAACGTCAGTCCTGGAGAAGTTCTTCACCCTGATAAACAAGCCTGTGGAAACCACACAGCTAACATCAGACCAAGTGGTGAGAGCCTCAAAGAGTTCATCGTATGATCAGGAAAAAGGCAACGATGCCTGCTATCACCCCTAGGAGCAAGACTACTTAAGAGGAAAGGCAGAAGCAGGATGGAGAGGGTCACTGGGGGAAAAAATTTGAGACATCTGTAACACTTTCAACAATAAAGATTAAAAAAAAAACAGATTGTACTGAAGGTTCTAGGCAGTGTAATATGGCCAGAAAAAAAGAAATAAAAGGCATCTAGACTAGGAGAAATACAGAATAGATAAAACTGTCTTTAGCCCTGGCTGGGTGCCTCAGTTGGAGTGTCATCCCATACATCAAAAGGTTGTGGGTTCGATTCCCAGTCAGGGCACATACGTAGATTGTGAGTTCGCTCCCCAGTCAGGGTGCATAGGGAGGCAACTGATCGACCTTCCTCTCTCACATCAGGGTTTCTCTCTCTCTCTTTTTCTCTCCCCCCTTCTTCTCGCTATAAAAAAAAAAAAATTAATAAAAACACATATCCCCGGGGTGAGGATTAAAAGCAAAACAAACAAAAAAAACCTGTCTTTATTTGCATATGCTATAAGTACCTGTAGAGAAAATCCTACAGAATCTACAAAAAAACAATTAGAACTAATACTTTCAGCAAGGTTGCAGGATACAATCTACAGCAAGGACAGCAAGGTTGCAAGGTCAATATACAAAAATCAGGTATTTCTACATACCAGCAACCAACTATCTGAAATTAAGCTTTTTCAATAACACCATAAACAATAACATCAAAAATGATAAAGTACTTAGGGATAAACCTAACAAAAGATTTTCCAGTCTAGTATTTTTAAAAATTCCAATAAAACATTGCTGAAAGAACTTAAGGAAGTTCTAAGTAAATGAAAAGATTATCTTCATAGATCTGAAGACTCAAGGTCAAATTGTCCCCAAATTGATGCAGTCCCAGTCCAAGATCCCTGCAGGCTCTTTTGTAAAAATTGGCACACTACTGAAATTCTCATAAAAATGCCAAGACCTGAAATGGCCAAACAACTTTGGAACAGAAGAATACGTTGAAGGACTTCACTAATTAAAACAACAGAAATCAAGACAAGTGTGGTACTGGCATAAAAGTAGACAAATATATAAATGAATACCAGAGAATCCAAAAATCGGCCCACTTATTTGTGGTCAATTGATTTTTGACAAAGATTCAAAGTTAATTCAATGGAGAAAGAAATTTTTTTCAACAAATACTACTTGAAGAATTAGATATTCATATTTTTTTTAATTTAATCCACATCTTGTACCATATATAAAAATTAACTCTAAATGAATAAATATATCAATGCAAAACCTAAAAATAAATGTAAATATAACAGCTAAATTAAAATATTAGTAGAAGAAAATGGGAAATTCTTTTGAGTCTTTAGGTTAGGCAAGGCAAAGTTTTCTTAGATATGAAACCAAAAACATAATCCATAAAAGAAAAACCAGTGATAAACTTCATCAAGAACTTCTATTCTCAAAACTCTCAAAGCCAGAACTCTTAAGCACTGCTCTCACGAAAATAAAGTGGTCCAACCACTTTGGAAGACTATCTGCCAACTTCTCAAAGAGGTCAGACATGTACCTGCAACATGGCAGCTTATATCTGTACAAAAATGTGTACATAAATGTTCACAGTAGCTGTATTTGTAATTGCCAACACTGGACACAACCCAGATATCCATCAAATGAATAAATAAAAAAAAATTCGTAGCATATTGAAAAATTAAATTAAAAAGAAATCGTAGTATAGCACCCAAAAAGTCACTACTCAAGAATAAAAAGGAAAGAATTGTGGGTATATACAACCATATGAATGGATTTCAAAATCTCTATTCTAGGAGAAAGAAGACAGGCCAAAACAAAGAGTGCCTACTGTTTTATTCCGTATTAGCAAAA